CTGGCCCCCAGACCGCCCCTCCCTTACGCGTCAGCGCCGCCCCTCCCTTACGCGTCAGCGCCGCCCCTCCCTCTTTCCCTTGAAACGCCAATCTCGAACCGCGTTTTTTTCCATTTTTTGTCGCTTTTGCTACTACTACTCTTCTTGCAATTCTTGGATCTCAGAGATAACTCAGATCTACCCATTTTATTGATTTTATTTTTGATTTTTTTACTTGGGTATTTTGTAATGGATTCATAGCTTTCGATTTGACCCGAAAAAAATACAAAAATGGCGAGTTCAGACCCGAATAAGAAGCTCAAACCCGGTCCATGGCCGCCGGTGCCAGAATCCAAGCCAATGTCGCCGAATTCATGGGCCAAGAAAACTCGGTTTCGGCCCAATTTTTCCGGTGAGACTAATGCTATTGATTCTGGCCCAATTGGGTCTGTCCCCAAATCACGAGCCTCAGATTATGCTGCTGATCTTGAGTAGGGCCGGGCCAGGCCCTTATCGATGGAAAATGGGCCTCTGCCTGTTCCTGCAGCTGCTACTCCGGCAAGGGGGGGGGGGGGCTGGGGGGCGGAGGTGGGGGGACGGGTGTACTGTAGCTTGGCAGGAGAGTGGTTGGTGGGAGAGGTGGTTTATTTAATTAATTGGTTACTTAATAATAGTTATTATTATTATTTATACATAAATAATAATAATAATAATAATAATAATAATAATAATAATAATAATAATAATAATAATAATAATAATAATAAGTTAACTTGTATAACCGGTCACCGGTCAAGTGGGACCACTCAAAGCAAATTAGAGTTAAAGTTCTGATTATTTAAAAATAATCGATAGTTGGGATTATTTTGGACTAATCGAAGAAAGTTGATATTATTTCAGTCAATTTTTTCTTTTAATTATTTATATTTTTAAATATGCACATATATAAAATAAAACAATTTCGTTTTTTATCAATGGCATTGTGAGCTTTCTGCTCAACTTTTTATGTACAACATTTGATTATATTTCAAAAGTACAGTGTTTCATTATAAAAGTATATACTGTATAGTATTTGTTTTCAAAAGTACTATATATATGCCCTTCGGGACATTTTATTAAAAAAAAAAAAAACTACATGCATGTAGGTGTCGCTAGAAGTGCACCTACATAGTAGCTTGTTTGTGAATGTGTTTGGCAATTATAGGAAGTTGAATTGACATTATACGATAGGGATAAAAAAAGTAAGGTGCTGCCAACAAGTTTTTAAGGAACTTGTAAATCGTTCATGGATCATTAAAGGCAACCACGAAAAGGGACTAACCGAAGGCAACAACGATTTGATCCATGAAGGATAAATTACACCCCATTCATAAACCATGAGAATACTAACTCCACAGTTGTCTGAACCATAACTAGATATCATTGAGTCATGAAGTCAATTCTGCCTATATTGACCTCTACTTGATTCTTATAGCGGCATGTATTAATGACAACTCAAAAGACATACAAAAAAGATTCAATTCGCTCCAAACTCATTAATCTATGTCGGTTGAATATTTATTGCACCTACATATATATTTAATTATTGTGATCACTTGATAAAGCAACAAGATTAGTAGGAACCAAAACTAATTCTCCAAATTATCTTATTAAGCGTGATTTTCAATTACAATAATTCTTGACACTACTAGAAACAGGCGATTTCAATTCCATCGGAAATACACCTTGTTGTTTTCCGTCGGAAAATGTGTTTCCGACTCGGAAACCAATTTGTCGAAAAAACGACCTTTTAATTCCTTCGGAAACACTTTTCTGACGGAAGGGCGTCGGATGACATTTTACGGCTCGGAAATTCCGTCTCCATCGAAAATTCCTGACGGAAATTCCGTCGGAAAATGCTGCATAAAAATAAAAATAAAAAAAACCTGCCACCACCCCACACCACCACCACCACCACCCCACACCCATTCCCAAAACCACCCCACCCATTTTCGAAACTAACCACCCCATACCACCACCTACGAAACCAACCCACACCACCACTGCCACCACCCCACACCCATTCCACAAAACCACTCACCTACCACCGATCGAAATCGTCCCAACCACGCTTGAAACCTACCTACCTACACCGAAACCACTTGTTTAGCCAAGCAGAAACCCACTCCCCTACCCTGCCAAACCACCCACCACCTTAAAAACCCACCAGGCCGAAAATTAAATAAATAAATTGAAAAACTAATTGAAATTAAATTAAAACTCGAAGTAAAATTAAATTACAAATTGAATTAGAAATTGAATTAAAGAAAATTAACTTAAAAATCGAAAACATACATTAAAAATCGAACAAATACCTTAAAAATTGGTAATGGCTTCGAATTTCCCCTAAAATATGGCTAAAAAGGCCAAATTCGACCATGAAAACTCTAGATCTAGAGTTTTCATGGTCGAATTGAACTTGGCTTCAAAAACCTTTAGCTTGTTTAATAAACCAAAACGGATGTTGATGTTGGCGGTGTTGTTGATGGTGGTGGGCGAGATGTTGGCGATGTTGATGGCGGTGTTGTTGTTAATGGCGGTGATGGTGTGAGAAAGATGGGAAAGAAGAGGAGAGAAGAAAGAGGGGAAAGAAGAGAAGATCTAGAAGAAAGAGGGGAACAAACAGGAGGGGGAAAGAGAAGAGGGGAGAGAAAGAGAAGAAGGGAAAGAGAACAGGGGAGAGAAAGATACGGGAAAGAGAAGAGGAGGAGGAAAGAGAAAGGGAGAGAGAAAGAGGAGACGGGTTAGAGGAGGGGAAAAGATAAGAGGAAAGAAAAGGGGTGGATTGAGGGTTAGGTTTAGAAAAGGTTTCTTTTAAATATATATCTTTTTCGATGGAAATTCTATCAGAAATTTCTGACAGAACCGTCGAAAAGTACAAATATTCCGACAGAATTATTTTCCGTCGGAAATTTCCGACGCATTGTTCAAATTCGTTTGAAATATCCGACGGAATTCCGTGTCCGTCGGAACCTGTCCGTCGGAAATTGACTGTTTTCTTGTAGTGTTATTAAAACATGCAATACGGTGATCAAAACAAATAGAATAAAATAAATCAATAAACATGCATAATATAGGAAGCAACTCGAGCATAATTAAAGGAACGAATTAAAAATACCCAAGACAATACTAAATAATTATTAATACGATCTTAGGCATGATACTAACATGATTAATATAACGCCTAAACACGATATTAATAATTAAGAATTAATCCCTAAACATGATGCTAGTAAGAGTAAATATTGTAGAATTAATTAAACGAAAGAATAATTAAATCTATTTATTTCGATTGCGAAACCTTACAACTACATCATGAATGAACTGCTAGTAAACTTCAATAAAATATGTAAATCAAAATAAACTAAATTAAATTATAGAAAAAAAATTAAATTGAGTTTAGATTGAAACCTTCAGGGTTTATGATCAACCTTTCACTGCACGCCGTGGACCACCGATAGAGTTTCGGGTAAAATATTGATGTCTAGGAACACTTAAAGGAGGAATTATGAAAGATTTGTGAGATGAAAGATTAAAAGAATAAGAGTATTAGAGAGAAGATGAGCAGAAAACGGTGCCTGTTACTCGACTACCTTATTTTTAGAAATAAAATGGAAAAAGATAGAGAATACATCGCCAAATTATCAAAACTATCGCGCCAGGTTGGCGTCTACCGCGTCGCGACGATTCTATCGGACTAGAAAAGTTATATGAAATGAATAAGAATTAAAACAAATGATTTGGGCTCGAAATAGAAATAAGTAAGTACTGACTAGAAAAGTTAAATGAAATGAATTTTGAAATAAAATTAAGCACTTATTTATATATTTCAACACTCTACCCGAACCAAATGGTAATGAAAGGTTTTCCTCATCATCAGGTTTCGGTTGGAGAGATATTTTTGAGAGATTGTTACATACACCCAGGTGCACTGTACACCCATGAGTATTTTGTTCTCATTTTGATGATTCTTTTTCATTTAATCATCAAATGAATAGCAAATACTCATTTTGGGTTAGTTGGGTGTATGGTGCACCTGGGTGTATCTAACAAATTCTAGATATTTTTAGGTGTCTAAAATTCCCTTAATGAATTTCGCAAAAACGCTCTTAATGAATTTCGCAACATACTCTTAAATATTCAATGAAATTACCAAAATCCTGCAACATATACATTGTTTTGTATTAAAAAAAAAAGAAATGTATGTACCTGACACCCTCTTCTATATCAATGGACTTACAATTACAAATCTGCCCTATTATGTATATATTTCCTCTGTTCTATTAATATTGCAACAATGGACTTTTTGCACTATTCATCACTCTTGTTTAACATATAATATGATTTATACGTTAAGCAAAACATAGTCATGTGGAATCTTGTTGGATTCGTCTCATAAAATACTTTCACAATATCAATTTTTTCATAATTTTACTCTTACACAATTATAGATATTTAGCACATAAAATGTGTTTTAGGATGCGTATTTCATCCTTGTTGCAATATTAATAGAATGGAGGAAGTATGTGAATACACATAACTGGGAGACAAGTCCGGTACTCCTTCAATATAATCTTTAGTCCCATTCCTATATACAGTAATAATAATTACAAGTGTATTACATGCTCATCACTTCAGTATTAAATTATTACTCGTAATATAGTTTGATTAATGTTTAGTTTATTTTAAGAAAAGGATAGTCCAACTCCCTCACCAATAGTAATTAGTAAGTAGTAAAACAACCATATATACTAATACTATATACAAGTAGTTAATTATATAATTGAAGTAATACTTCGTCAAGCTAATTTAATCAATATGATTATGTTAGCACCAACCAAAAATCAAAGACAAACGTGCAAACACAAAGGTGTTGGATGCATGCAAATTGGAATAGTTGGCAATATGTGACATGTTAATTAGTACTCTACACACTATATATAAGGATGCTGCTATTTTCCTTAATTACAACACTCATCATAGCAACTCTAACTAGCCCATACTTGATCAATTAAGAGATCGATTGATGGCTACTCCTAAGGTTATGATTTTATTAGCTCTTCTTCTTCTTCCTCTTGTTGCCTCGAATCCTGCTTATGACAAATCCGGCCTATCGGTGGGGTACTATGGGTATTCATGTCCTCAAGCCGAGTCCATTGCATTGAATGTCATCAAAGAATCCCTTTATGTTGATCCTACTCTTGCTGGCCCCTTGTTGAGAATGTTCTTTCATGATTGTTTTGTTAGGGTGAGTAATACCTTTTTTTCTATCTATTTTGCACGAATTAATTAAGGCTATATATATATATATATAGTGGATATGCAAACAAACTAATCGTTTTCTTAATATATAATTGATTTTCAGGGTTGTGATGCTTCAATCCTGCTAGATTCTCCTACAAAACAAGGTGAGAAAGATGCAATTCCAAATCTAACACTTCGAGGATATGAAATCATAGATAAAGTCAAGAGTGCATTGGAAATGCATTGCCCAGGGACTGTCTCATGTGCTGATATATTAGCCATAGTATCGAGGGATGTCGTGGTTGAGGTATACATTTCTAAATTACTAAAAAAAAAAATTCTAAGTTATCTAATGTTATAATTGTACGTTGGTAGTGAAATGTTCTTATTATTGTACTATGTGTTGCCTTTGTAGACCGGAGGAGCGTACTGGGATGTTGAGTTAGGAAGGCGAGATGGTTTTGTTACTTCGCTTACTGAAGCTCTAACTAGTTTGCCACCACCATTTTTCAACATTACCTCTTTGATAAATAGTTTCATCCAAAAAGGACTAAGTGTAAAGGATCTTGTAGTTTTATCAGGTATGTAAATAACTTTTATTTATTTACTTATTTATTTTCATTTACACTTTCACGTCGATTAGTAAGTTTAGACATACTTTTTTATGTTGTAACTCGAGAATATAATTGTGTAGGAGCACACACTTTAGGCGTATCTCATTGTTCTTCGTTCAAAAACCGTCTCTACAACTTCAACGGAGGAGGTGACAACTCTTTCGATCCAACCATGGATCCCAAATATGTCCCTGCATTAAGGAAGAAATGCACCAAAAATGGTGCTGACGTGATCGTGGAAATGGATCCCAGAAGTTCCAAAAAATTCGATAATGATTACTTCAAGCAAGTGTCTAATAACAGAGGATTGTTTCAATCAGATGCTGCATTACTCGACAATTACGATACTAAATATTATGTTGAAGCTCACAAGAACGGTAGAAACGAAGAAAAGAAATTCTTCGAAGACTTTGGTGTATCCATGGTAGGAATGGGTAGAATTGAAGTTCTTACTGGTAATGCTGGTCAAGTAAGGAAAGTTTGCTCAAAGATTAATTACGAGTACTGATTAAATGTACGTACGTACGTGACATTTCGTCGTGGTCCAAAATTCTCCTCATATTAATTGATTTGTTCATTTGGTTATACAAATTATTGCATTATGAATAAATAAGAAGATTCGTAAAGTGTATGTTTGTGAGATTTAATATTGGTAAAGAACTTATAAGTTCAAGTGAGATTGATCGAGCTCGTCTCCAACTGAAGATCGAAGTAATATCTGGCTTTAACGGAGTATATGTATGGTCAAAGAGTCAAAGCCACTTTTATTTTGCTATATACATAGGATGATCTTTCATATATAAGATCTCAAGAAAGTGTATGTAGTTAGAATATTTTCCATTACTTTGTCTTTGTTTTCATGTAGTTGGATGCTCTCTTTCTATATTATTTAAATATCATTACTTAAACAGAATATTATTATAATTTTTGTGTAAGAGTTTAGTTTTTTTTTTTAGTAAACTTAACTAATTACTAACAAGTCATACGAGATCTACAAAAGACATCAAATTTAAATTAATTTAATCAGGTCAAACGAATATCCCTTTACTAAAAGTATGATGGATGGGACGATCTTGATCTTGCACTGTTATCGCATGCATTGTTGGAATATGCAGCACTTTCAGAGAGACAGTCAAGTGATTTGTTATAACCGCGAGAAACACTTTTGTTTGATTCATTTGAATTGAAAATCTTTGTGATTCCACATAATTCTTTACTAACGAATTCGAATTGAACCCATATTACTATTGTTCCCCCTTACACCATAACATTTCCTTTTCAATCGCCCTCTCTGATTTTATATCAACATTTCTTGCACACATTAACACTTTACTCCATTGAAAGAGTTAAGCTTTTAAAAAACAAAAGAATGGTACAAAAACTTAAATAAATGAAACAAAAAAAAAAAAAACCCTAATCAAAATATCTTGTAACAATGTAAATTTTAGAAAAAATAAAAGTTCTATTGTACTTTTTTGCCCTAATGCTTGATTTGGATGAATTATTTTGTTAGTTATTGAATTAACGTTATTATGATGGACTTTTTGTCAGAAACTACCTTTTAAAAGAAATTTTTGTGAGGAACTACCTAATATAAAAAATCGTTGTAAGAAACTACCTATTTATATAAAAATGTTGTAAGAAACCACTTATTAAAATAAAAAATGTTGTAAAAAACTAACCTTTTGCCGAATTTTCATCTTTAACTAATTTCTCTGGCATTGACCACCCTCAGCTTGTCACATGATTTTAATTTAATTAAACTAATTCTCACCCCTTTTTTCCCCAATTTGGTGCCCAACATCCGTATTCAACCTTATATCCCTCAATTTCTCCTTCGATCCCTTGCTTCCCTTGCATTATTTTCCCCTTCCCTTGCTTAGCTTCCATTTGACAATTGCAAGGAGTGAGAGCTTGTGTTAGTTTCGGGGATGCGTGAGGGTGATTTTGGGTGTGTTTTGAGGCAGGTTGGGGTGTTGTGGTGGTGGGTCAAAATGGTATGGTGGTGGGGAGGTGGTGAGGAAGGTGGCACGCACTCTTGATGGGACACGAAAAAAAAAGGTTTTAAAAGGTCACATGATCGGCATGTGGGTGGTCAGCGCCGGAGAAATTAGTCAACAGTGAAAATTCGGTAAAGGATAGTCTTTTACAACTTTTTCATTTTAATAAGTAGTTTCTTATAACATTTTTTTTTAGAAAATTTTGATTTTTAACACCCAAAAAAAGGCTGAAAATTGGTTTTTAACACCTTAAACAAAAATATTTTAACACCAAATAATTTTAAAAAATTGGATTTTACCACCACTTAACAGATTTGGTCCAAAAATTCGTTAATTAGGGTCCATAATGCCACGTGTCTCTTTGTGATTAGACAAAAAAAGAAAAAAAAATTTAAAAAAAGAAACCGAAAACTACCCAGCCACCCCAGCCCCACCATTACCACCCTGTTCTCCGTCCCCACCCAGAGCAGCTTCAAGTCTCCGCCATCGTAACCAACCCCCTGCCAAGCCCTGACCACCGGAACCCACCCCTTCCCCAGCCCCAACTAACAAAACCCATCCCCCTCCCATTCCCTCACCTGTAAACCGTCCAAAACGAAGCCTTAAATTCTAAAACGGCCACTAATGGCAGAAATTGGCCGATTTTGGGGCTGAGTGGCGATTTCAGCCAATTAGTGGCCGAAATCATGGTTGTTTACTTTAGGGAAGGGGGGTTGCGGTTTGGCGCTGGTGCGACGGTTATGGTTTCGGGAAAGGGAGGGGTGGGTTCAAGTGGGGCGGGGTTAGGCTAGGGGAGGTGGTGTTCCGACGATGGGGTAGGGCTGTGGCTGCATTAGCTAGGGGAGGAGAAGAGGGTGGCAGATGGTGGGTCTGGGTTGGCTCGGTTTTTTGGCCACTAACAAAGCCACACGTGTCACCGTAGACCCCACTTAACGTATTTTTGGACGGAATCAGTGGTGGTGAAATCCAATTTACTAAATTTTTTCTGGTGTTAAAATAAATTTTTGTTTTTTGGAGGTGTTATAAATTAAAAACCAATTTCAGCTTTTTTTTTGGTGTTAAAACGTCTTTTAATAGGAAGTTTCTGACAAAAAAGTCCTATTATGATCATTTACTCTCGTATTTCAAGAAGCTAGTAATTGCAAATTCGTTTATAGAGTAAATAATTAAAATATTTTAGAGCTACATTTATGCAATTCAATTTAAATTGAACGCCAAAATTTGAAATAGTAAATCTGTTTTAGATTTGACTCATTCAACAAACATGTACAATACTTGAATATTTTGGATTATGATCAAGATAAGTGTTCTCAAACCTGTAGTCGAAAATAACTCGACTTGAATATCACCTGACCCAAATTAAACCTAACTTGACAAATCTTTTAAGATATTGTTATTGGTCACCACTTTTAAAGTTTGAACAAAAAATAAAAAAAAAAACAAGAAGGAACTCAATGAACACAATAACATTACATTTGTCACAAAATGAGTTCATTGCAATAACACTATTATTATTTACTTAATGAAATTAGCATTTAATACGAAGTAACATTTGTTGAACAAAGCATATGTTGTTTGATACAAAGTTGCCTACATAATTCCGTCAATGAAACTACTAATGGCCGCCTTGATCATTTCTCTAAGAAGGTCATAAATACACCCGTGATTTCGAAAATTTACCAGGCCATGAATAACGATGATATACACAATGTCATTACAAGCAAGTAGGTCTTTAAGCTTGTTAGCTGATTACTACCGGAAGGTGGTGAAGGTGGCACGACGGGTGTATTATTAGGAAAGTTAAAGTCCATCGTTGGCGGGCCTGATGTCGACGAAGTCGTACTGGTAGAGGGAGCGTCATTCTCATTGTTAAATTCTCCAATGAAAGGTGCTTGATCATATCGGAGCCAGCAACTAGGCAAGTACATTTCCATCGATACTCTTGCCGTCCCACAACATGCTCCCATATTTCTGAATGCCACTCTTAAGCATCTTTCACATCGATTTCCAATTATGTCAGGAGTGCATTGTGCGAAGGCATACACATTCTCGAACAACGTGAGCTCGCCTTGGTCAGTAGCATAACCTCGACTTGAGTTATAGGCAGCCTGCTCGATTAAACCATCCATCATCTCTGAAATTAATTTTCCGAATTTTGTAGGATCAGACACATTTACTAGACTCCAGGTGTAGCTCATTTGACTTTGTTCTTGGTGAGAATAGATGGGGCGGTTTGCATACCGTACCATACATTCCTGGTACCACATAATGGCCTCTTTTTGTGTAGGGCATTTTTCTACGATTGTTTTGGATGCGGCCTCGACACAATCATGACATTGTTGTCCATTGAGATCACCTCGACACATATATAAGCCATATGTTTGGTCGATCCCTTGTCCAACTGTGATATTATCGAAGGTGGATAAGGAGGCTTTGTTTATAAGGTTAGGAAGAAGGTCAATTAAGTTTTCGTGGTACGTGCTATCCGTTGTGTAATTACCAACATCTTCTAGGCAATATTCACTGTGGATATGGAATTGAGAGGAAGTTGGTGTGACGGTAAGGAAAAGGGGGATGAAGAAGATTATACGAAGATTGATTGAGAACTTCATCTCTTAATTTTAGATGACAAAAGATATTGAATTTTGAACTTATTAATTAGAAGAATTTAAAAAAAAAAAAAAAATTGTTATACTACTTGTATAATTCTATGGTAGAAATTCAAATCACATATGCATAGAATAATTCTAATGGTAGAAGTTTAATCAAATCATATATGTTTAGAATAATTCTAATGGTAGAAGTTCAAATTATAAGTTTATTCAAATTTTATATGTATAGAATATGTCAAATTAATTAGCAACTTAATTGTGTACAGCTTAAGCGAAGTCAATGTCTTCTTCTTTCCTCATTAGTGGATGCACGAAATTATAAGTATGTTTAGTGGTTAGCCATTCTTCACTAGCTTAGAAAATCTATCATTTAGCTAGCATTTTGACTTTTCATGAGATAGACATATTCTTCCATACAAAATTATACATCTTTTTCGATACATAAGGTAGTTTGGTAGGATAAAGGAGGGTAAAAGAGAATATTCCAATAAAAAAAATGTAGTAGATACCAAAATATTTTTATTTTATGGAGCATACTTTAAATTGTACAACGAAAGAAGGTGTATCGTAATCAAGCACAACTCTTAATTCAAAGCTTCTCAATCTCACCATGAGTAGTTTTCGATTTCACATTTTTCTTTAAAGTACTAAATGTGTAGTAATTGGCCTAGCAGAGCTACATCAAGAAATGACGACATAAATTAAACTCTTATCACCCCCGATGAACCATTCAATTACTATATGAACCTAGTTATAATTAAGAAACTTGTATAGTAAGTGAGTAGACATACCCATAATGTTGGGAGAAACACTCTCACAATTGTTGCAATTTTATTAGACGCATCTGTAATAGAACTATAACTTCATGTATATAATATACAGACATGACCGAAATTTGATAATTGTACTTTGTTGTGGCGTTTCGTATCATTATTTCCTTGGTTATATATCTTGTTTGTGCGTGCGCGATGTTTTCATAAGATTAGTGAAAGTAACTTGTGTAAAATTGTACATGTTATATATATGGATTACAATTCACTTGAAAAGTGAAAATTAATTACAAAGTCTTGATTCGACAAGGTTGAAATTAAAGACTTGGCTATTAATCTTAAAAATTAAAGTAAAATTCATAAGAATCCCAAAGCTATATAGATCTTCATCAATATAAAATTATCATAACGTAGCTCAGATCATAACCATCAAACCATATAGATCAGACAATTCAGCTGTGAAGTATGTCGTTGAAGGCTAAGGAGCAAGAGTAGGCGGAAGAGGAAGCGTTGGTGGCGGCGACAACGACGGTTGAGAATCAAAGATAAACGGCGCAGTATCATACCTTAGCTGACAATTAGGCAACATAACCATAGTCCAAACTGACAAACTGTCAACACAACAACTAGGTATTCTACCCAATGCTGTCACCAAGCAACTTTCACAGGCCTCTGCTGTTATATCAGGCCTACACAAAACCATCCCATAAAACCCTTCAAACAAAGTGAAATTCTTCTGCCCATGAGCATAAAACCGGTGTAAATTATCCGATGAAATCGCCTCCAAAATCAACCCCCGCAAGGTGGTATTCACCAGCGCGGGGAAGCCTTCAGGTTTAGAGACATTTAGTGTACCATAGTTGAAATACCAAGTGTTAGTTTGGTTGCTCTCAATGGCGGAGATGGAGTTGTTGGTGAATCTTATCATACATTCATCATACCAAATAGTGGCCTCCTTCCTATCGAAGCAGTACTGGTCTATGGTGTTGATGGTGGCATTGATGCAGGCCTCGCAGGTGGCGAGGGAGATGTCTGGACGACAGAGGTAGTATCCGTTGACACGATCAGGGCCGAGACCAACGGAGGAGTTGGAGAAGTTGTCAACGGAGGAGGATGCCTGGAGGTTTGATAAAAGGTTGCGGATGTTGCTGTGGTATGTGCCATTGGTATTTATAATATCACTTTCTAAGCATTTTCCTCCGGCGAAATCAAGTTGAAGTTCTTGGGTTTGTGCTATTGTGATTTTTATGAGTGTGAGGATGACAATTTTGAAAATAAAAAACATAATGTTTTGTAAATTTCTGTTAGAGAGTTATTATGTATGTTAATGGTAGGAAATAATGATATATATTATGGACCTATAATTAGAGGATGATTGAATTAATAGTTCAGAACATGTTTTCATATTATTTATATGTGTCACGATCTTTCAAATTAGCTAGAGAGAAGATCAGTAGCTCCTTAGCTAATTTTACAACTTACATTATCCAACTATAATATGACCGAAAGGATATGTTACCTTTGAATTATTCTTCAAAAACTAGTTGATTCAAGATTATCAACTCTTCTACAACATCTTAATTGCTGTGGCAGGAACATGAAGAATCATACAATTACTTAATAGCTTGTCATAACAAAATCTATTTTTTTTTCTTTGTTTTATGTGCAAATTGCTTTCTTATATTTTTATATTGTTATTTTACAATATTTTTTAGATTGCCAATTCTCAAGTTATGATCAAATTCAGATTGATAAAGTGAGAACTAAGTGGGTGCCCTAGCTATATAGTCCAACAATTGTATGTGTGTTTGGTCAAATTGTAACACTTAAAAAATCAAAGGAAATAAAAGTTAATCAGACAAAGTTGAGATTATTAAAATCAATTTTTTAAAACTAATCAATGTGACAGAAAATTTACCTAATAACAATTCTTAAGTTTACAATTATTGTGCATATGAGTTTTTTTTTTTTTTTTTTTTTTTTTTTTTTTTTTTTGCGTAAGAGCTCATGGCATTAACATCTCTAACCTTGATTTAAAGAGCATCAACTGAGCCGAAACGAATGGTACAATACTATCTAATAGAGCTCGTCTCAAATTAAATGTGCTACTTTGTGACTTCCAAAATTGGCAAGCTAAGGATTACCAATGCAAAATTGTTCTATTACTTACCTCCGTTTTTTTTAGTTGACACGTATTTTTTTTTTAGGAAGTTTATTTTTAGTTGACACGTTTTTTTTTTGATAAGTTTTATACTTTGAATTTACTAGTGTACCCCACTTGCTTTACCATTCTCTCTCATCTCCTTAATTTGTGCCTAAATTGAATGCGTCAACCAAATAGAAACGGAGGAAGTATGATTTCCCTACGTTACAAAAAGTTTAAGAAAACTCTTATGAATAGTGTGCATGGACATTTATATCCCTAAAAATGTTCTTTTACATATTTGCCCCCATTTGATTTCAAAAGCCTTATAATTGACTCTTGAATTCCCTAAATTGATTTTAAAAGTTATGTTTATGTCAATATTTAAACCATCTTTTACTCTCTCTATTTCTATATGTTTTAATTTTCCTATTTAGAATTTATTAGACATTTATATTTTTACATCGAACTCTATATTTTTTTATCGCTTAATCACTAAATTAAAGTAGCCTAACTAAAGTTTAGAACATTGTACAACTACACAACATCCAACATATTTATCGTCTATATACAAATAGTTTTATAAAATATTACACAAACCAGCATAGGCAATAAAAAATTATCGGTAATAATTCTTCTCAAAGACTAGCTATATCGCGCGCGTTAAAATCCTAGTATGCATAAAAATGGGCAAATTGCTAGCATCATTTAACAGTTTTTTCCCTAAAACTGCTAACCTGAGGATTTAATCCAAAATTTGTTTCTCAAGAAAATAAACTTAGATCTTTACCGAGAGTACCTAATGAATTTTGCTACTCCACTCCGTATTACAACTTTCCACTGGTAAAAATCTCTGATGATGGCAAAGACGTCCCGAATTTCTGCACTGCGAAATCATTTAGAGGTGCTGTTAATTAAAAATTAGATATTTGACTAATTTTTTCGACATTTTAATTTAATTTATTGTCCAATTTAGTATTTTCAATTTTTGATATTTGCGCTGTTAGAGAATTGTATTACAGATTACTCTATGTAATTGAAATGTTACTTGAAGAATCGTTCTTTTTAGCTTTAATTCTTCTTTGAAATTGAATTACTGTAACCTGTAAAGATGAAGAATTGAAATCAGGTTGTTGTTCTTCCTTTTTGTCTAATCTTAGTTTTAATTTTTAATTACTAAAAACCAACCCAAATAATGTGAATTATAAATTTAGCAAAAGAGAATGTTAACTGATTATTATCCATTAATACTGTACTAGTATAAATTAGATTTGGAGACTTTGGATATAAGGTGATAATTTTGGATAAAAGCTGAAGTTTATATGAAATCATTTCCAATAAACATTAATAATTGGTTAGTTTAAGTAGCACATAATGTCATACTGTATAAATTAGTCATTTCTCACAAATCTACCCTTGTATTCCCTTAGTTTGCAATTGCTACTGATCATACTATATGATCAATAGTTGTTCTTGATATTAATTATTATTGCTTTCATTTCAGATTCAGGTTGGTGCGCAAGTGGCTTACATGTATGGCTGCTTGCTGTTTGGATCTTATTTGGTTGAAATCTGAGGTAACATTACCTCTAATCACTTGTGTTTTTCCTAGTTCGACTTAATGTTATAATTTTGTTGTTGTTGTATTGGCAACACCTGCTGTTTTTTTTTCCTTCTTTTGTGTGATATTATCCCTGTAATGCTTTACATGATCAGTCATAAACATTTCAACTTGAATATACAACATTTTTAGACTTGCTCAATCAACTTTAGACAATTTAACATAAAAAGAAGCCTGAATACAGTTCCATTACTCTTTCTCAACCATAGGTTAGCAAAAAGATTATGGCCTTTTTTTTTTGGGTGTGTTGAAGGGGAGGGGAATAACATAGGAAAAGGTGTTTCTTGCTGTAAAGAGAATGTCAGCGCGGGTATAAGTCTGTAAATTGTACAGTGGAGTTTCCACTATAAGCCTGATCTCTTTCAAGACTTTGAAATTGATCTTGTTCTCCTGTTACGTACCCACCTTGCACATTCGTCTCAGATGAAACTGATGAAAGGCGCGGTGGAAATTGGATATCAGAGGAATTGTTTTGTAGAATGAGGAGAACTGATTCCATTGTTGGTCTACTTGGAGGGTCATCTTGAACACAAAGTAGCCCTACTTGGACACATCTTAGGATTTCGGTTCTTGAACAGTTGTTCCCTAGTGATGGGTCAAATAGTTCTGAAATAGTCCCTGCATTCCAAAGTTTCCGTGCCTGAAACAATGGGATACATATTTGACTTGTTAGTAATTAACCTTTTTGTAAGGTCATTTGAACCAAATACCGATCAAGAAAACAGAAATTAGGGTGTCTTACATAGTTTGTAAGGCTGTCATGCCCTAGTGATCGAATAAACAAATTATTGCTTTGCCCACTGACGATCTCCAGAAGCATGACTCCGAAACTGTAGACATCTGACTTGATAGAAAATACCCCAGCTACTGCATATTCTGGAGCCATATATCCACTGCAAAACATTACCCATCAACATTAAGGTTGCCATTATTGAAGTAAATCTTATATTTGTATACATGAATAACATGATCAGAATGTGGGAGACCAATTATTAATTTTTGTGGATGCCCCAAGCACCAATGAAGTTAGGCATTTAGTGGTAATATTAAAATTTCATATAGTATATGATGGCCGAAGAATCATCAGATATATAAAATAGATTTTAATAGCTTACAATGTTCCAAATATTTTGGTAGAATTGGCCTGTGTATGGTCCATTTTCACAAGCCTTGCCATGCCAAAGTCAGCTATCTTTGGAGTCATTCCTTCATCCAACAAAATGTTGCTTGATTTTAAGTCCCGGTGTATAATCTTGACCCGAGAATCTACATGAAGGTATAAAAGCCCTCGTGCAATTCCTATTATAATATTGAATCGTGTTTCCCAATCCAAATACTTACGCCTGTTTGGATCTATAAGATGTTCATGACCATGAGTGAGATGGAATACTATCAGAATAAGTTAGTACCTTATGCAACCAAGAATAATGTTGAGTTAAAACATAGTACCAAATAGGAATTTATCCAAACTCAAGTTGGATACAAATTCATAAATAAGCAACTTTTCTTCGCCTTCTATGCAGAAACCCAAAAGTTTGACGAGGTTTCTGTGTTGAAGCTTTGCCAATAATTGGACCTCATTGGTAAATTCTCTTAGACCTTGACGAGAGTCTTCTGAGAGCCTCTTAACAGCTACTTCCTGTCCATCTGGGAGCCTCCCCTGTTTTGTGCATTTGGAAACCCATTAAGTCATAATAAGGAAATGGGCAACCATTTTCAGTCCTAGTAGTTAAAACAAAGTAGAAACATGGTTGTTGAAATTGTGTTTTTGGTGATTCAGGATATGATACCTTATATACAGCTCCAAATCCACCTTCACCTAGTTTGTTGTCCATGGAGAAGTGTCTTGTAGCGAATTTAATTGTGTCCAGATTATATTGCAATGATTCTGAAGGGTTGGATTGCTCGATGTTCGATTCATTGCTGCTAATGACAGGAATCACAGGATCATTGCTTAGTGTGGAAGGATCAAGAGCTGTAGAGAAAAACGGGAGAAAAAAAAATACCATTAGTTGGAAAACAATGAATGGAACTTGGAAGCTTAGATTAACTAAAGGATGTACCCTATGTGATATTCAAGAACAACATGGTGTAGTTTTTATTAGGCTTAATATTTTATGAAATATGAATGGGTATTTTGTTATCCTCTAGCTCTGGGTTTGTAAATTTGTTATCCTTTCTTGTGTTGTGTTATCTACGTGACTGGTCTCTTTTACTCGTCTAGCAAGTAATCAGTATTAAAGTTTTTATGGTTTAATATATCAGAACAGGAAGTCTAGTCTGCTGAGTGACAATTACCTCTAGGTCTCTGATTTTTCTTCCTCTTGTTCACGTAGAATGCGAGGATGCATAGAAGCAACAATACAAAGCCGGTAACTGGAGGTACAACTCTTATCACATAGAATAGTACACCCTTGTCTGCAACATAAAATGCAGGAAATGTTTAGAAATATGAACTATGTATAATGTTTTTTAATCTGCATCACTTGTGCCTTTGATTACTTGCCAGAAAAAAACAATCTTAAAACATGATTGGGACTCTGGGAGGTGCATGTATGAATGTATGATTGAGAGAAGGGAAGGAAGATGAGGCATTATATGGGTAAAACAACCTGGCAAAGGGATTTTGTTTTCTATTTCTTTTGTCAATTTTTTCCTTTGTTACCTGTAGATGTAGATTGTGAGCCTGGTGGGCTTGGAGATGGAGCAAGTTGGTTGTAGAAAGGCACCATTTCGTACCTCATCTGGCAATTAGTCCTGAAGATCATAACCCACAATCTCCCTCCATTACAACAAAGCTGCATATCTCTGTAAATACGACGCAAGCAGCGTTGACACGGTGGTCCAAGGATATCAGGTGAGCACTGAACAAGAGTGTATACAGTTGGATATGGGGGAAAAGGGGCCTCTCCGGTTGCATAACCATTGTAAGTTTTGTTATAAGCTGCCTTCTGAATAAGGCTGTTCATGCTTTTGAACAGCACATTCTGTAACTGATTGGGATTGGATACGTTGTAACTTTGGTCGAACCAAAAAGACCAACGAAGGTCTTCTTCGTCCAGACCAAAGATTGGCCTGTTTGCATACCTCAGAGTGCATTCTTGATACCAGACAACAGCTTCTTTCTGATTAGTGCAGTTTCTTATAATCTTTTGTGCTGCTGCCTGTACACAATCACGACAGAAGTTAGTACTCATGTCACGTCTACAATAGAATGTGCCATAAATTTTGCCGGGGCTTTCTCCCCTGGTGGCTTTATAGAAGTCAGATCTGGAGGCTTCTCCGCCGAGTTCTGTAAGGAGCTGGTAGAGGTTCTCTTTGTATAAGCTGTTCTGTGTATAGTTACCATTTGCATTGTCACAAGTGGTAAAGAAATAATTGGGGCCGGAATCTGCAGTAACATTTTTCAGCAGTAGGAATACAAGGAAGATTAGTTGGAGAGATTTTGAGATGATATCAGATCGTTCCATTTGCTTCATATGTTGATTAGGCCTTATTCAACCGTTTTTCTTACAAAATATTTGTTGGTTTGTAAGCCATATGAACATACGTTTGGCCACTTCAAAGCTTATAGTGATAAACATATGTGGTATCAACTTCGTTGAGACATTACCGAGTCCAGGTACCAACTGTTGATGACTGTAAATAACGAGATGCTTTCATCTGTTCTACATCACCGTGTTACTTTCAACGTTCGTAGAATTTTTTTTTGAGGACGCCCCCAATACTCACTGTGAGAAACGTTTTTGTTTCTTAAATGCATGATCTGTGCACCCGGGTGCACCATGCACATGGTGCACCTGATTAAATAAAAAAAAAAGGCTGAAAGAACATTTAGCTGTATGAAATAGAATATGCAGGTTTTTGAAAAAGAACATTTTTGTGTTTAATAAAGAACATGCATTATTAAAGAACATAAAGACATTACAAAAAGTACGTGATAAAAACTTTATTAAAATTTTATGAAAAATTACACATTAACGGAAAAAATCTTTACCAAAGATATCATATCCCCAAAAATTGTTTTTTCTCTCTCCAAAAATTAACTTTCCATAATAATTTTTGTTCTCTCTCTCTAAAATATTTTAAACTAAGAAAAAACCAAGATTTCATTTTCAAATTAAATTTCAAAATTCAAAATAACATATGTTAAAAGAGCATAAAATATAATGTAAAGAACATATAATTCATACCCGAAGAACACACTGATCAAACTCAAAGAACATACGATAATAAAAAATAATGATTATAATAATTCAAAAAAGAATTTGTGCGTCACTCGCTACCTCAAAGAAAATATGAGCCAAATTCAAAGAACATACTTTGTATTATTGAAACCCAAAAATGTTTTAAAAATGGAAAATGTCCATCAAGGATAATAATTTTAAACTGAAAGCAGTTTAAAGGGAATAATTCCCTATAGTTTCGCCCAGATTGCATGTTTTTATTTTTTTATATTCGACTATTTTTTTTTTCACTTATTTAATGCTAATTTAGTTATGCCACATCATCAGGTGCACCATGAGCATGGTGCACCCTGGTGTATTATACAATTTTCATTGTTTCTCACAATGACAGTTTCGTAAATAAAATTTACCACTTTAATCACGGTTGTACATTTTATTTACGAAATGGATGATAAAATTGTATCACTTTAGTCACGGTGGTACATTTTATTTACGAAACTGTCATTGTGAGAAACAAAAATGTTTCTTACAATGAGTAACAGAGATTTACTGTTTTTTTTAGTATCATTTTTCCAAGTTGTGGGTTATTAATATGTATATTATGCAAATTCCTTATTCTAACTTCCGGTTATTGCTTTGATATTGGGTAAGTTTTGGTGTTACTATGATTTCTTAAACTTTAATTTATTAATATCAAAGAGTTCTGAAAGGTCAATTGGACTCAGTACTGCCTATGCCTCAAATGGATTTGTTCTTGAGTTAGAATGAGCAACATTTGACTTTGACTATTAAGTTTGTACTATTATAATTAAGGGTCTACTTGTAATCAACAATTAATAATATCAACTTGATCAATGTGAGATCAGTATTGCTGTCAACTGATTGTCCAGTCTTTGATTATAATATTGAAATTCGAATATACGAAGTATTAATATATGTTTATGCAAAATGAAATTCTCTAAATGGATAGTAGTTTAAAGACACTTGACACATAAAAATTAATTTTCCTATTATGATATATACTACTCGTACTATTCATATATAGTTAATGACGCTACTCATGTCACCATTAGTCCATTACTATAGAAATGATGTACCACTAATCCACTATGCAACTTCTTCTTAGGAGCTACTTCCGTGATTTGGTTATTAAATGAATCTAAGACGATATCCTATGTTAATGTTCTAAATATCATAATTAGCCTTTTGACTCGTGTAATGCACAGTTTGTTAAAAGTAGAGTGAATTTTTATTTTTTATTTTTTATTTTTTTGGAAAATTGAAGTAAAAAGACATTGACTTAATCTTGATAAGTTGATATTAATTAAGTCATAGTAGTAGGGTAATATGAAAGGAGCTTAAATTAATTTATTGTGTTAGGAATATATACATTTGTGCCAAAATAGAAGGAAAAGGAAAAAGATTAAAGGAGGAAGAAATAATTGGTGTTATGGTTTGTGTTTTAATGTATTAGGCATAGATTTGAGTTGGACTTTTTATTTATCTTGGAAGCTTATACAAAACATTTATTTTTGTATAGTTTGTGTGTTGTATTCTTTTTTAGTATGGTTGTTATGTTTTCTTTTAGGATCAATGCTTTAAAAGTTAGTGGCGAGACAAATAATAGAGAGGTGAATTGGGAATAAAGTGAAAACGACCATTTTGCTATTAATGAAAGCATTAAAGATATAACATTAGTAAGTGTGTTATTGTAATTTTGATATATATTCTCAATCAGTTTCCTTCGTGGCTTCACAACCCAAACAATGGATTATCACACTCCTATTCCCAACCTTCTAATCCCCAAACTCTCATTCCTATTCATCAAACGCCCCACTTAGGTAATAAATCATAGGAATAAAACTATCTTCATCCCATTTTCAATCCCACCTACAATTCCCCTTCTCACAAAACAAACAAGACATAATACTCCCACCTTCTTAATCATTAGAAATGTTTATGAGACTAGACAACTCGCGATCTTATTTCACCTAGAAATGCATAAAGGTTTGACCAAACTTAATTCACACTTAATTCGCCTAAACTCACATCATAACCACCCGTAGTCTCAATTCCCACATATGAAACGCCTAGAGAAAACATCTTATTAAAGCCCTGTTCAAGTCTATCTACTAGCACACGAGTGTGACAACTGACACGGCGTGGGTAATTCACCTGGAAGTGGAGAAAGCGTATACATATACGGATTTATTTCTATCAATTTTCAATTCCAAATTCTATTGAGAAGAGAGTCATGAAATTGGGTTTTGGTTGAAGAACCAATTTAGGGGCAGAAATTGCTCAAAATTTGCTCTTCAATTCCCCAGTTCTGGCATAGCGGCCCATTAATTTGTGAGGAAAGATCTAAACTTTCTTCAGTGGTGTTCATAATGAGGTAATTTCCACTTTTTTTTTTTTTTTTTTTTTTTGAGCCACTTAGGGTGGGGATGAGAATCGATTCCAGGATCACCTGGAACCGGGAGGAAAGCTCTTACCAAGAGAGCTATCCCTCACTCTCAAGTAATTTCCACTTTAATTGTACTAAATCTCCTAATTTTTTCTTTAATTTATTGGCGGCAATTCTCATCTCGAAACTGAGGTAGTAGTTCAATTTTAAAGGTTAATTGCACTTGCTTGATTGCATCTTTTTATATTTAACAATAATTGTTATTATATAAGTATGTTATGTTACATTGTTAATATATGCTTTGGTTATGTTTAATTATAATATTTATGTGGTTCATGATCTTGGTATTTGGTAATGCTTGGCATAAAGTCATAAATAGACAAGTTTGTTGCTTTCAATTCTAGTGACCACTGACCAGAATCGAAGATAGTTGAACCAAAGTTGTAATCGATCAAATATAGGCAATCCAGCTTAATAGAAGAAGCGTAGATGTCAACTAGCTTTATTGATTAAAGTCTTGGGGTGATGCCTAGATTTAAAAATAAAAAACTTGAATTTCATTTTCCATATATTGATGTATAACCATTAACTCTTTTAGAACTATAAAAATGAAATACAATAATCATTTTAATTATTTTTATCGTAAATAATCTTGAATTTAGGACCAACCCTAAGTTGTAAAATCTCTCTTAAATGATTGTTATTGTAGTGTTTGAAGGTTGTCTTAGGAAAGGTGAAAGGTAAGGCGACTATCCTACTTAAAAGTCCTTCTTTTGAAATTAAATCGGAGTATGTAGTGTAGAGGTGATTTTGAGAATCTCCTTTGTGCTCAAGGTCATTTGTAATAATATGTAATCTTGTTTGTAACAAGGTAAGTAAATAACAGAATATGTCTTGCTGCGCGGGTGTCACCCTAGGCACAAAGAACGAACTTGCAAGGCGGACTTTTTGTACTTGGCTCACTTTCTTGACTTCCAAAAACTTTCCCTTCTATTATGTGCTTGCCTTGTGTATGTTTGTTGAATGATGCTTGCGAAGTACCCAACAAAACTTTATTCGATATTAGAGGCGGAGTTGTTGTGAAGAATGAGCTCGAGGAGTTGCCCTCTAGAGATGGATCAACTAGTTGAATGGCATTTCCACAGTTCCAAAGACTCCTTGCCTGAAGCAACATGACACATTATACACGTCTGACTTGATAGAGAATTCTCCTTCTTTTACAGATTCAGGACTGAGTACTCCTATTTAATTGCCAAAGTTGGTAAGCATATTTGTGATTATGTGAGATCTCTTTTATTTCAAAGTGTGATTTCAAAATTAACAACTTTTTATAGTTTTCAAATACTATTTAATGAAAGTTATTAATCACAAAGGTGTGCATCTGAGAAAAAGTGAATAAAAATAGAACTAGTTGCAAACAATAATTTTCAGAAGCTCTTAGATCTTACCGTGTTCCACGAAGTTTTTTTAATTTTTGCCTTTGTTTGACCTATTCTCAGGTGCCTTGTTACACCAAAGTCTGCTATCTTTGGGTTCTTCTCCTCGTCTAGCAATATGTTGTCTGGTTTCAAGTCCCGATGAATAATTTTGTAGTCTGAATCCTGTTGAAGGTGCAAAAGTCCTCGTGCGGTTCCTGTTATGATTTTGAACCGTGTTTCCCAATCCAATAGCTTGACCTTCTTTGGATCTATAAGATGTTCATGATCATGAGTGAAAACACGAACTACAATTTGAATAACTTTGTACCTAACACAAGCTAATTTTTTCAGTTAGAACATATTACCGAATAGGAATTTGTCTAGACTCAAGTTGGGTACAAACTCATAGATAAGCAACTTTTTTTTGCCTTTGGAGCAATACACCAACAGTTTGGCGAGATTTTCATGTTGAATCTTGGCTATTAACTGACCTTCATTATCAAAGTCTCTAAGAGCTTGACGGGAGGCTTTTGAGAGCCTCTCAACAGCCACTTACCGGCCATTTGGAAGCTTCCCCTGCCATGGATATATGGAAAACTCTTTAATTTGCCACAGAAAATTGAAATGTTTTTGTGAGTAGGCGTGTATGTTGTAGACTTGTAGTACCTTGTAAACAACTCCAGATCCTCCTTGGCCAAGTTTGTTATCGTTAGAAAAGTTATCTGTCGCAGAGTTAATCACGCTGAAGCTGTATTCGATAACGCCTGGTAGAGGATTATTTTTGGTTAAGTAAACAGCAGTAAAACAAGTGTGCAATTAGTTGGAAAACCATAATTACAATGCAGCATTAATATTATAATCCCTCTGTTATTAGTAGTTGCAATTGGCTTTTATGTGGTGCTATCAAGTATTGTTTTTGACTGAATGTGGAACTCTGGACTCTATTTTTTGGACATTAATCTAGTCTCAAATTCAAATAGTACAATTGCAAGTTAAGCGTATAGTTTGTAAATGAGCAATTTTTATTGATTTGTGATGGATCAAGCTCACTAAATGATGATACTTTACACTTCACAGAGGAGACATGGCCGTGCTGAAGTGTATAGCACTCCAGTGCAGGAGTAGGATAGAATTAGACAAGTCTTGTTCAGGTCTTTTGAGTGGTAAAAAACCATATGTAGCCAATGTAGGAATCCTATAACTCGAATAAGACTTGGCTAAATCTATCCTACCCCTGCCCAATACCGTGTCATGGGCGATGGCTAAAGTAGAGCTTGAGCATTGCAGAATGTCTTAGTGACAATATTACACTATAAATAAGATTTGGTAAGAGTGTTGGCTATTTCAAATCAGCCTTTATTATATGTGTTTGTTTATTCTTAGTTTATTTTTTCCTCCTGAATTTCTTACAAGTAATTCATATGAAGATTCATGTTTAAATTTGTAATCTGTCAATGGTAGTGATATTACAACTATACTGTCAAATATGTTTTTGCAATGCATGAGTTCTTTTGCTAAATTATGATGCAATGAGATGACATCAGATTAGTAAACAAATAAGAATGTAAACACTCCATCAACAGATAATTCAACTAATATTTTTGATATAGGAGGGGGAAAAAGTCCCTATACCTTAAATTTGAAACCCAATAAGCAAGGAGAATAGGAAATAGTTTATTTGTGTATACAAATAAGAATATTATGCTAAAAAGGCTATAAAAATGTAAATAAAGGTTAATTTTATAATATTTTTTTACCCCCTTTCTTTTTTTATTCCTTATTAGCTATATATCTACTCCATATATAACTATGATTATCAAGTATTCATACAACTTTAAATTCTTTAACATACATGTAATTATGTTTTTTGTTTATATTTTATTATTTTGAACGAGGAATTGTTTTAAGCTGTGTAACTTGAAAGTGCTTAAAGAAACTACCAGTTTTAAATTAGAGAAAAGGATCATAGTAAAATGTGTCATGCATGCTGGTTTTTGATCTTATACTTGTATCTTTCAGTTGTAGATACTAGGGCAAAAAAGATCTAACAATTACAATAATGCCAAGATCTTTATGATGCAGACTTAATTATAATCTATTGTGAGGACAACCAGATGACAAAGTCTAATTTCTTTATCTTCTTGAGGTGAGATTTTACCTTTTTGACGATGTAACTGCGTATGTTTGACAATGAGCTCTTTTATATTGGATCTAAAACATAGGCTTTATCTTATAAACTGGGAAAAAAACACGAAACATATTCTGGTATGAATTAGATATATACCTGTAAATCTGTGCTGTTTCTTCCTCCGGTACATGAAGAAGAAGATAGTGCAGTGAAGCAACAATACAAAGCCAGAGGCTGGAACAACAGCTTTTGTTATGTAAAATTGTATACTCTTGACTGCTCCATTAAAAATTATAATAAGTCAAGAACATATCTATAATGCCAACTATGCATTTAGACGCATTACTAAGCCTGTTTTTGGTTGGGACTTTAGTATATTCAATTTGAATGTTACTCCATGGAAAATTCTGTCCTTATTTGATATAAAATTTAATTGTTGCAATTCTAAATGGTTTATCATTCGCTAAATTTCTTGTCTATTTTGATTATTTTTACCTGAATGTGATGGTTGCTTGTCTGATTGTCCTGGAGGTGTAGCTGGCGGAGGATGGAAAAATGATGTGTCATACCATATTTGGCAGTTTGGCTGGAAAATCATACCCCATATTTTTCCTCTGCATCAAGTCTGCAATTCTCTGTAGCAGCCACTCGAGCATTTTTCACAAAGTGATCCAAGTATATCAGGGGAGCATTGAACAATGCAATACAACGTTTGATCAGGTGGGAGAGGAGCCTTTCCTGTTTCATAACCGTGGTAGGTTTTATTATAAGCTGCCCTCTTGATTAGATTGTTGATAATTGTTGACATTGCTTGGTCTAACTGTGTGGGATTGGATATGTCCTCATTGCTGTTCCGATGCCAACTAAAAGGATCAGTTTCCAACAGCGAGAATATTGACCTGTTTGCATAACTTAGGGTGCATCCCTCATACACAATGCTTGCTTTTTTCTGGTTACTGCATTTGGTGACTATTTCCTGTGCCGCAGACTGTACACATTCTTGGCAGGGCTGGTGACTGACATCACCTCTGCAATAGAATTGGCCATAGACTATGTTGGGGCTGTGGCCTGTGGTGGAATTATAGAAGCTAGTTGTAGAAGCTTTTACACTGAGATCTGATAGGACAAGATTGAGATTTTTTTGGTATGTACTGTTCTGTGTATAATTACCAGCTTTATAGCAGTAAGAGCCTATAAGATTCTGTGTATAATTACCAGCTTTATGAGGTATTCACAAACATTAAACACTAAAAGAGGGTTTGAGAGTGTTTGTGAGGAGCATTTGAATACCATACAATTCATGCTTGTAATTCTTGATTTCATTCATCATCAATACTATTCCATAGTGCAAGAGTGGGTTTTTTCTCCCGATTCTAAGTATGAATGTTTTTCAGCTAGTGTAAGTGTAAGTGTAATGTACTAATGTGTAAGAAGATATCTGAAGATAGCCTCCCACCCACCCCCCCCCCCCCCCCAAAAAAAATAAAAATAAAAAAGCACACACACACTTTAAAGTCAATTTTCTCCTGCTATAGTATGAATGTTTCTATCTATTACTGTCTGAACACCAGAACAATGGCTCCAAATTTATAGACATCTCGTATGGAAGACAATTTGTCACACCTAATATATTTTGGGTCCATGTATCTGTAACAATGATCATGTTTAACACATCTGAATTTGTATTCTGTTAAGAAATGTGAAGGTAATATTCAACTCAAAGCTCAAAAGCTCACGCCTGTTCTGTTAGCTTCTGATAGTATGGTTTATATAAAGGTTATACCAGTAGCAACTGTTTGGTGATGTTTGATGCTGTTGTGAACTGAGAAGTTGACAATTTGACATCCAGTGTGGAAAAAACCAGGTGTTGGTTGTGGGAGACTCAATACTTACTTAAATGAGTGGACCAGAGCCATATTAATGTTGAAGTTATTAACACACAATATGATCCACCATTCTGTGTGCTGGTAGCTTTGTTCGTTTTGGAACTGTGTCTGGACTCTGGTTCAGCTGCACTATATTGGATCTGTTTTTAGAAAGTGTCTTACCTTTATCATTCATCAAAATGGGACAATTCTAAACTTCCTTCTCTAGCTTGTCAATATCTTACAATTTTAAGCAAACTGAACATAGATTAAATTAATTTCAAAGTGTGAATTCCATGAAAGTCGTGTTAATCCATATATGATAACCAAATTTAATACAGTAAGAATTTTTATTTTGGATGTTTGATGTGAATGTGATAGTTCATATATAATACTTCAGTTAATGTGCTTATAATGATTATCATTTGTTTGGGAAGAATAAGGATTCTACCAAATATTCTGTCTGTACTTCAAAGTTAAAGAATTGAAAAAAATGGCTGCAGCAGCCTAAAATTTTTGTTCATAAGTGGACTTCACATCTATGACTTTACTGCATATTTATGGATAAAGTTGTGCTCCTTAGTAACATGGATTAGATTGTGCTCCCCTCATATCTCTGATGAAAATATTAATCAACATGAGTACATGACTGTGGTCCTTTCTATTTCTTATATTTGATCAAGAAGTATATCCTCTATGTCGTTCCTAGAATACGTGAATGAATTCTTCCTCTCTCCTATACATTTAACGAGGATAAACATCTGTGATGTCCTTACTTCCTGAAAATATATTAGAAGATTGACCAGAAGTACTACTACTTGTGGCTATTAGCTGAGGTGGTGTTGGCTCAGAGAGTACCACTGGATAGCCATTGATTGCCGAGACAATTGGAGCCATTGTTGGTCTCTTATTTGCATTTTCTTGGATGCAAAGCAAGCCAATGTGAATGCATTTCACTGCTTTCTCACTTGAGAAGCTACCTTTGAGTCTGAGGTCCATCAACTCTAAAGCTGCATTGAGGTTCCAAACCTCCAGGCCTGTGACAAATGGATTCACACATCACATATAAACTATCAGATCTTTAGTTCGAAAACTAATAAACCTTATCCTAAGTTATGGAATGTCTTTGCTTAGGAAGAGTTTGCCTTTATGGAATTATTCTTACTCGTTGAAGTAGACTTTCTTCATGAAAAGGGAAGGCTGATGAGTTACACTTGAGGCCACTTACGATTTCCAAAACTATCACTCCGAAGCTATAAACGACTGACTTGACTGAAAACCGCCCAGCCATTGCATACTCTGGAGCCATGTATCCACTGCAATTATAGTCAAGTTCATGTGTAGGAAGTTTTAATTGAGAAACAGTGAGAAAAACAGTTATAATCCAACATACAAGAATCATCACGATATACTTACTATGTCCCAACAATCCTATTGGTATCACCTTGAATTTGATCAGCTCCTACAAGCCTTGCCAAACCAAAATCTGATATCTTCGGGTTCATATTTTCATCTAACATAATATTGCTTGATTTTAGGTCACGATGTATTATCTTTAGTCTTGAATCTTCATGAAGGTAGAGGACTCCTCTAGCAATTCCTGCTATTATCTTATATCGGGTTTCCCAATCCAATGATACGTGCTTGTTTGGATCTGCAATTTTAATTTATTAGCAAAATCATCATATATACTACAGGCAAAAACAGAACTGAAATGTTGGTTGCTTTAAATTAATCATATGATACCGAGTAGGACTTTGTCAAGACTTGAATTAGGCAAGAACTCATAGACAAGTAACTTTTCTTGTGCTTGCAAACAGAATCCCAGGAGTCTAACCAAATTCTTATGCTGAAGCTTTGCAACTAATAGAACTTCTGTCTTGAATTCTGCAATACCTTGCCCTGAGGTGGATGACAACCTTTTCACTGCTATTTCTTGTCCATTCTGAAGCGTTCCCTATAAAGTTGGATTTAAAAAATGTGTGATTATACTCTATGCAATAAAATTTGATAAGCCTAAACTGAAAACTTATGATTTAAGTGTGTTCAAATATGTAACTTGTTATACTTAGATATATTACCCTGTAAACAACACCAAATCCACCTTGCCCAAGCTTATTTTCTGTCGAGAAATTATTTGTTGCGACTCGTATTGTCTTGAAATCATATTGTAATGATTCTACTGTAACTATCTCCTCCAGTCCTGTTTCAATGTTTAGATATTATTTGAAATACAAGAATTTTGTGATGTTCTTTGCATGCTTTATGACTGTCAAAGAAGAGTATTCAACATAAAGTTTTGATTTACCAGGAGATGGCGTTGCAGCCTTCCGATTGTATATGGAACAGAAAGCACCAGCCAGGAGCAAGACTACAAAGATTACAGGAATGCTGACAGCAATGGCAATGTGTGACGATCTTTTCTGCTGCTTGTCTGCATAGTAAAGGTATAGATTTAAAATTTTATCATTTTGCATGGAATTGGACTAAATACAAATCTTGAAAAATATTGGGCTGGTTAATAAGAATTTTCTTATCCAGGCCAAAGCTCCGCTTACTCGACCTAGGTTAGTAACTTAGCGGGCTAGCACTTTGAAAGTGGAGGGATGGGTATGAGATCCTCACTCTCAAAGTGCTTCTAGTGGAGATTGAACCCCCAATTCAAGTTTAGAAGGTATAATCCTTATCATTAGGTCAAGCTTACAATGATATTGAATCATTGGTCAATAATAAAATTAAACAATAATCTGCTTGTTTGTTTTACTTGAACTTTTCATACGGAATATTTTGCCCCACCTAGTGGCTGCTACAATGTAATCATTGCTTAATCCAGGTTTACTAAAGTTTCAATACATCATATTGATAATATTAGTCATCTTTGAATTCAATTGGTTAATTTAGTTTGCTTGTTCAACTTGAACTTCTTTTCATCAATTTTTCTGTAAATTTCCCGTTCAAAAAGTCACAGCTGAACTATTCTCTGTTCTGCTCTGTTTTGACTTTGTTTCTGAACCTGACTTTTTGAGTTGTCCTATTCTTTAATCAAAGTTCATTCTTTTTGTGAAATTAAGTGTACATGGACAAACAAAAAGTTCCCTGATGAGAAAATTCAACTGGCTAATTTCCTGGAAAGAACATTTCATTCTCATTCAAAAATTAATAATGCGAATTAAATGCGACAGGATCATTTAGGTCTGCCCTTGATATGTTACTTTGATTCTAGATAAACTATTATTTGTTCATTTAAAGTAATAATACGCTATTACTCGTCTCTGTTTATGCAATAAGTGATGCTTCCTAAAGTCTTATGCATAGCCTTGAAAGGCAATGAAGAGTGTGGTACATATTTTGGCCTTGATATTAACTTGTAAGATTTTTGCATCACAAATTCAGTATGACATTTGAAACTATTGGTGCAAAAGTAGACAAGTGTGCTTAGTTAAGTTCTCAAGTGATAGGTTATGTACACAAATAATAGTGATTAACTGCTAATTCTCTCATTAAAAATCCATTCTAAAATATGAAGCCTGTGAAATTTGCCACTACAAGCTAACAAAAAGTACTTGCATAATTTTATACCTCTTGTAATGGTTGATGTTGAATTGGTGATCGCAGATAGCAAGAATGATGTGTTAACAGTATTGCCATAAAACGGACTGACTTCAAATCTTACATTGCAGCTTGGTAGCAAAGCTCTCCCTCCAAGCATCATTGGAAGCTTCCCAATCGCAATTTTCAAGCACCAACCAGTCATCTGCTGACAAGTCTAGCGTGCACTGCCCTAAGGTATATAACTTCTTTGAGCTTGTGATGTTAGCCATTTTGGTACCAAATTTCACCTTGCTGTTCACAATTTCTGGTGTCAAATCCATCATGGTATTGTTAAGCACCTTAGAAAATGCCCGAGTCTTGTTACTAGTTATGTTTTCAGGGTTCCATTCCACGTTGCTTGGGTAATCATCCATCTGATGATAGAATGTCTCGTTAGAGAAATGAAGCATGCAATTGTCATACCACAGAACAGCCCATATCTGGGTCGGACACTCTTTGAGGATACTATTTTGAGCCTGGTATACGCATTGGCCACAACCTTGACCACCAATGTCACCCCGGCATAGGTAAAGGCCATAGACTTTATCAGGGATCTGACCTACAGATGAGTAATAAAAACCAGAAAGCGAAGCTTCTGCAGTTAACTCGAATAAGAGATTACCGAAGTTTTTTTTGGTACTGACTGTTTTGGGTGTAATTAGAACTACCTGTGCAGTTGGTGAAGTAATCAAAAGCTTGGGCACTTGGAATAACAAGTTGAAACACATGTATTATGGTTATTAGGGGTATCAGCGCGACCATAGTTTGATGCAAGGAAGTATTTAGTAAAGTTTAATGAAAAAATGCCTAAAATTTTGTGTTACATGAATGTTCTAAAAGCCATGGTTTACTTGTAAAAGTCTTTGGTCAAGTTATAATAGCTTCCTGAATGATTCGATATTGCTGTCAAATCTTGATGTCGTAGTTTGTTTTGCCCCATTCACAAGAATAGAAGATGCAAAAGTATGATCGATATTAAATTATTACGCCTATGATCGAGTCTCATGAATTATTTGTTTACTTCGATTTTGCAAATGAAAATATGATTGTAAATTCCATCGCCACATAAATGTCAAAACAATATTATATACTTCCTCCGTTCTTTTTTTATTACATCATAGGAATTTTGGAAGCAAAATTTGGTAGTGGGAAACAATAAGAAAGAGAATCGTAAAAATACAAAATTGTCCATGTAATGTAAAGATAAAATAAAAAGTGTGAAAAAGTAAGGGTATGTTGGGTATTTGCAGTGTGAACATAGATATTTTTTGTCCTAAAATGGAAGTGGTGCAATATTTGTGAAACTTCCCTAACAGGCAAGTGATGCGATATTAAAAGAATAGAGGAAGTATGTAGGATTTTGTAAAAATTCATTTCAATTTTTATTTTTAAGATGTCGAGTTTATATAATATTACCTCCGCTTCTTATTATGTGCAATAAAGAGGTATTATTTGTGAGACAAAATATTTAAAGAAGTAAAACATTCGTAAAGTAGAGGGAATATGAATCAACCAAAAAACTTACTCCCTTATATTTTATTAAGTGAAATATTTTGACTTTTTACATTATTTACCTATCTATTTTAACTAATATTTGTACTTTATACATTAAAAAAAATTTTAAAGTATTGTAAGTACTTGTTGGAATTGTTTCAATCAATAGATTATTAATATTCAATTTTTATAATTTTTACTTGCATTGATATGCGTATAGAAGAGATATATTTCACTTATAAAAATACGAAGGGTATATATATTAAATTAATCCAAAATTTTTACCACAAGAACAAGGATAAATGTTTCACAAAAAAAAAAAAAAAAAAAAAAAAAAAATCCCCAAGGAATTCAAGAGATACATAGTGGATTAGAGGGCATGCTAAATTAGAGGTGTCAATTCGGATGATCGGATCGGGTCTGATAAGGTCGGGTCGGGTAGAGTCAATTTTTAAAGTTGAGTCATGTTAAATTACTGTGTCCACGCGAGTTCAAATTTGAATTGGATATTTTTTGGGTCGGTTTCGGATCGGGTCGGGTTGGATCGGGTGTGGTTTTGACATCTTTATGCTAAATTGCTAATCAACCAATGTAGTGGGTGTTTAGGGTAAAAATACCCCAACACGTGGTCCAATCCCATAGTGACACGTGACCCAGTCAAAGGGAGACACGTGTCCCTATAGGAAGATGACACGTGTCAAGAAACACAAAAAGCACCTGGAATGAGAGCAAAGGGCCTCCTCACATCAGGAGGCCCAAATCTCGAGAAAGCCGCAAATCGGCGCCCCTCTTAGGACACGCGCCAGCACTTGATTGCGCCGCCAATCAGGGCACGAAATTCTAGGGTAAAAACCCTAAAGGGGCACAATTCCCCACCCTTATAAATACCCGAATCATTTACGATGGGAGGGGCGGATGGGGACATAACATAAAAAAGAGCATTAAGAGCTCTCACTTCTCTCTACTTTCTCTCTCTAGCTTTTCCGTTTTCGATCACTAACTTGATCGTCGGAGACGAATATTCCGGTACACGGAATATTCGTGGTTTTGCAGGTGTCCGCGTCCATCCTGCCGAGAGCGTGATCAGTATCCCGAGGGAATCACAAAAAACCACGAAACATTTTAGGTGTCTGCGTCCATCCTGCCGAGAGCGCAATCAGTATCCCGAGGGAATCACAAAAAACCTCGAAACATTTGGTGTCGTGTGTGGGGATACTCGTCCGTTATGGCAAAAGATGGTGAGACACCCAATACTGGTCCCGGTCCTAGTCAGGATGGGCATGTAGAAAATCTCATTGTTACAATCAATACAAGTGATCCTCTAACTGCTTCATTTCATGAGGCCGAGGATCCTCCGGTGACTGTTGGTCCCTTGAAGGCCGCCTTGAACAAGCTCCGAAGGGAGCTTGAGAGTAAGATCCCTTCTTTTTCTAGACAGCCGTCCAGATGGGAAGGAGAAGGTGTTAAAAAGAAAACTCCGGCGACTTGTAAGGTCACCAAGGGTGCCTCAGACGAACTGGTCTAGGTTCCTTGAGAAAACACAGTTGGCTGGGGGGCAGACCAAGAAGCCTTAGAAAGAGCTGAATGAGCCGTCCAGACGCTGGAGGGATGCAAGAGACTACATCCGGCACAAGCAACGGGAGCGGGCAATCTACTCGGACACAACCTCCACTTCCACCATCCCGAATGAGTTCTCTGACCATACTCTCTCCAAGCATACCAGCTTAGCAGAAGTCAAGCTCACCGTACTCCAACCCCAGTTCCTCTAACTCAACCATTTCAATATCAGAATTACGGCACAATTTTGTCGCCTGCTCCCCATGTCTTCGGACAGCACGAACACTATGGCCATCCGTACTACCAGGCAGCTTACTTGGGCGGACCGGCCGCACAGCCTCAGCCCATTGATTTGCAAATGCGATTGTTGAATTTGGGTGATAAGCCGCCTCCGTTTTTTCAAGAAATTCTCAACTCTCCCCAACAAGCAAAAGTGAAGAGTGTACTTATGGGTGCTTATGATGGTACGGGCAGCCCAGAAGAGCACGTCACCTCATACAGAAACCTGATGTACGTGCAAAGTGTCGATGATGCCACTTGGTGCAAATGCTTCCCGACCACCCTCAAGGGCGTAGCTCATGACTAGTTCAACAGCTTGCCGGCCGGATGCATCAATTGTTTTACTACTCTCAACCTACTATTTGTTGGAAACTTTTCTTACAATTTTACTAGTATTAACTTGGCAACCATAGTCCAAGGAAAGAACGAGGGGTTGTGTTCGTACGTTCAGAGGTTCAATCAAGAGAAAGCCCAAATTCAGAATATGCCGGATGAAATGGCCTACTCAGAGTTCCTCCGAGGATTAAGGCATAATAGCTTTAAGTTTGACTTAGTCAGATAAAAGATTCGGAAATTCGTAGGGGTTCTGCGGGAGGCTGATTCCTATATTGAGGCAGCTGATTTTTGTTCGCTTACGAAATCAGAAGTTCCGACCAAGGGAGCTGAGAAGAAGCAACCATCTCAGCAAGACTCGGCTGGCAAAAAGAAAGAAGGAAGCAACAAGAGAAAAGAAGTCTGGGCGGCCGACTGCCATCAGACAAAATCAAAGAAAGCCAAGACGTATGAGCCCCAGTATGAATACAACAAGGTTTGTTATTCAATTTTGATGGAAATCAAAGACAAGTTCGAGTTTGAGAAGCCTCAGCCTTTGAGAGGGCCGACTCAGTACAGAAACAAGAATAAGTACTGTCATTTACCACAAAGATGTGGGGCATGACACAAACAACTGCAACAATATAAAGAGATTGCTTGATAAGCTGGCCAAGAAGGGCATGCTCAACTCATACGTTCTGAAGTCTAAGTTCAAATACTCTCGGACAGACAACAAATCCGAGAAGAAGAAAAACAAAGAAAAAGATGATGACGGAAATAGTACTGACTCAGGTTTTGTGGCCGTTATATCAGGCGGCTTTGCTACAGGCGGCCCAACCATGAAAGGAATCAAGCAAGATGCTTGGAAATTTGAGAATGTGATGCACACCGAAGGGGTGAAGGCCGAGTCCTTTCTAAAAGTGACGATCTGCGAAGCGGACTGAGGTGAGATCAAAGACCCTCACAATGACCTTATGGTGTTCATCCTCAAAGTCGCCAACTTAAAGGTCGGCCGAGTGCTGATAGATACGGGCAGCTCATCCGATATCATCAGTTTGGCTTGTCTGAAGAACTTAAAGTTACCAGAAGATGCCTTCAAGGATATCTCCCACCCGCTGGTTGGGTTTGGGGGGAAAATCATTCACCCGGTCAGGACGCATTGATTTGCCCGTCTGATTTGGGAAAAAAGGGGAAGGAAGGGACATGCTCGTCCGATTCCTAGTTGTTAAGGAGCTTACGGGATACAACATTATCATCAGTCGTCCAACTCTTACATCAACAAAGGTGATAATCGTCCCTCATTTGATGCTGATGAAGTTTGAGCGTTCGAACGGGAAGATAGGTTCTATTCAGGGAAACCAAAAAATGGCTAAGGAATGTAATCAGTTGGCTGTGAAGCCAACAACATGCGGACAAGGGAAAGCATCCGAGCGAAATTCCGAGAAGGCTCTTTCCAAACATACCAGGTCGGCTAGAAGCGTAAGTCGATCAAGAAAGAGCAAGCATAGTAGCTAATGACCATCGGTCGGACAGAAGAGCTAAGACCGCAGCCGGCCGACGATCATAAAGACATAGTGCTCAACCCAGAGCAACCTGATCGGACGGTCAAAGTAGGCATTATGGATATGGGTTTTCTTGGAGATGACTAGTAAAATTGTTGAAAGAGTTCAGAGATGTGTTTGCTTTTAAATTTCATGAAATGCCGGGGATTAGTCCAGACCTGGTCGTACATAAGCTGGCCGTGAATCTAGCTACTAAGCCTGTCTGGCAGAAAAAAAGAAATCATGGAGAAGAGAGGAATCTAGAGAAAGCGACAGAAGTTAAAAAGCTGCTGGACGCAGGTTTCATTCGACAATGTTACTACCCTGATTGGGTAGCCAATGTGGTTTTTGTAAAAAAGCCGTATGGAACTTGGAGAGTGTGCATAGATTACACTGATCTCAACAAGGCATTCCCTAAGGATAGCTTTCCCTTGCTTAAAATCGACCGATTGGTTGATTCAACGGCCGGGCATGCCTGATGAGTTTTATGGACGCATACTCCGGATTCCACCAGATCCCATTTGTGGGAAGAAGATCAAGAAAAAATAGCG